TTATTTTATCTGTTGATTAGGGCCGGAGGAAAGTATTGTTGGGTTGGTTACCTACCTACGTTTTCCCTCCCACCCACCCCTTGCATGCATCCCGGTTCGGTACAGTGCCACGTCAGCAGCGCCACGTCACAGTGCCAGATCAGCAGTGCCACGTCAGCAGTGCCATGTCACAGTGCCAGGTCACAGTGCCACGTCAGCAGTGTCACGTCACAGTGCCAGATCAGCAGTGCCACGTCAGCAGTGCCAGGTCATAGTGCCACGTCAGACTCAGTGCCACATCAGCAGTGACGTCAGACACAGTGCCACATAAGCAGTGCCACATCAGCAGTGCCACGTCAGACACAGTGCCACGTAAGCAGTGCCACATCAGCAGTGCCACGTCAGACACAGTGCCACGTAAGCAGTGCCACATCAGCAGTGCCACGTCAGACACAGTGCCACGTCAGACAAAGTGCCACGTCAGCAGTGCCACGTCAGCAACATAACGGGCCTGCCAGGGCAACTGCCCAACGAGTCCCTTGCCGCCTACAAGCAGCGGTTCCACGCTCAGATTGAGGCTGAGGAACAACGCCAGCTGGCAGTCGAGGCTGCCCGCGTACAGGCTGAAGAGGCAGCAGCAGCAGAGCAGCTGCGACTACAGGCCGACGCAGACGCAGATGCCCAGGCTCGCCAAAAGGAAGCCCAGGATCTGCTGCAGCGGCATGAAGCCAACAGCATCGACAAACTCAGGTTCTGGCACTTTGAACCGAACGGCGACGAGGCAACACCGGAAGAGAAGCACAAGGAGTTCCTCTCCAAACTCGTGACAAGGTTGTTGTACGCTTGCAACTACCAACTGTCAGAGTTGGAGAGACAGTACCAGGACCTGACGCAACAGCATCAGGAGTTGGCAAAGCTCCACCGCATAGTGTAGAGCCACGAGGATGCAACTCGGGCACTCAATGCCCGATTACTGGACCTGGAACAGGCTGTACCAGGACCAGCTGCTGGGGCTTCTAGCAGTGCACCCTCTAGCCGCCAACTGGAGGACCGCGTTGACCACGTAGTGGCAATGCTTGGCGACATTAGCACTTTCGCTGCGCCGACCACCACCATCAGCAGTCAGGTGCATACATTGAAGACCGAGGTCCAGCAGCTGCAGTCGACGAACGTGGACGACAATCCGAAAATGTACAAGATGCCAACTTTCAACCTGGAGAGGTTCGACGACTACACGCAGCAGGATCCGGTCCTCTGGTGGGAAGCATTCACAACGCAACTCAGGATTCTGCCCGTAGCCAAGCATGCGTACATCGGCGCCCTGTTCCTGAACTCAAAGGGCGGATGCCAGACCTGGTTGAGCCACCTGGCAACCTCCCACGGCGTCGACGTACCAGACTTGAAGGACAAAATCACATGGGAGGAACTGACACGGTTGTGGAAGAAGCGGTTCATCGTCGACGACGCGCCGACACTCGCCATCAACCGTTTGTTCACCATGTCACAGGGCAACACTGCAACACGGGATTGGCTCACAGAGTGGCAGAAGATTGCAGCAGTGCCCAATCTGGATTGCCTTTCACTCATCTTAGACGTGAGTTCTACAACAGGTCATGTGTTGCATTGAGCCAGGCTCTTGGTGATCGCGAGCAGTACTCCACTTTCGCCGAGATTATCGACAAGGCGAGAGAGATCATCAAGACCAACAGGTCAGCTGCACACGAGAGATCAACATGGCAGCTGACCTATGTGGAGAAGGCACGAACTGGTCCGCGACAGCAGCACTTCGCTGCAGTCCAGCAGGACAGTGGAGATAACCCAGCAGCCACTCCAGCATCAAGTGACGGAGATCAGGTGGCTGATGTCCAGCCGCGAAGCAACAACAAGTCCCGCAACAATGGGAAGGCGAAATCCGCATCGCAGGCCGGAAATGGACAGCCAGTACAAGTTCCATGGGTCAAGTTTTGCTTGACCGAGGCGGAGTACAAGGTCCGCGGCCGCTATGGCAACTGCTATTGGTGCAACAGCACCAAGCACAAGACCTCCCTGTGCCAGGATCAGGGCAAGGAGGATGTGCGACCCCGCCTCAGCTCGGGAAACTGAGCTCCGCGGAAGGTGAGGCGACTCCACCTTCTACTCCGCCAGATTCGGCCGCCTTGCTAGCGGCCTCCTGCACATCTGGGGAGAACGCGAATGTCNCTTGCTAGCGGCCTCCTGCACATCTGGGGAGAACGCGAATGTCGCAAGTTCTCGTTACAATTACGAGGACTATGCTGTCCACTTGGTTCCACCGCTGGACCAACCGCTCCACGTGCAACAATCTACCGCATGCACGGTTTCATCACCATCGGCAACCGATTCGGCAGCTTCGCCGCCATCTATCGCCGGGGATTCATCGTCGTGGTCAAGACTTGAGGTGCTCGACCCATTGACGTTCACGGACTTCCAGTGGATGCCCGTTACCCTGACCGGACGATTGCCGAAACCGCATTGCAATGTGCTCATGGCACAACTACGAGATTACTTGCACACTGCAGTACCGACTCCGTTGATGGACGCCAGAGTAGAGGTTGTCGACCTTCACGTCTACATCGCGAAGATCGACCGCGAGTTCAAGACGCAACGGTACGACGACATCGACGCACCATTGCTATACGTACGCATTCAGATCGGAGAGGCGACCTGCAGTGCCTTGATCGATTGCGGAGTATCTCGCAACTACATCAGCCAGGACTTCATGGTRCGCGCCGGCCTTGGCCCACGCGTCCGGAGGAAGCCCCAGCCTACGCAAGTCACATTGGCGGACAGTCACACACACAAGTCAATCGACCGGTGCATTGACAGCGTCCCAGTGTACTTTGCCCCTCACGCAAGTGAGGCGGTGTCCTTTGACATTCTGGACACCAAATTCGACATGATCTTGGGCATGACATGGTTGCGAAGCAAGGATCACCCGGTGAACTTCTTCAACCGCACCGTTCACGTTCGTGATCGGAATGGAGTATTAGTTCCATGCACGGTGCCTCTTCCTCATCCTTCGATCAGCTGCCACGTGGTATCCGCCGCAAGCATGCGAGCTTCCATCATCAGAGACGACATCGAGGAGATGGGGGTGTGTTTTCTCCACGCCCTCTCGCCCCATGACGCTTCATCGACGGACTCACCTTCGGATCCACGCATCACCGAACTTCTCGACGTCTACAGCGACGTGTTCAAAGGCCCGCACGGAGTAGTACTGGATCGAACCATCCGCCACGAGATCATCCTCGAGGACGGGGCCGTACCTCCGCGCGGTTGCATCTACCGAATGAGCGAGGAAGAGTTAAGTGTGCTTCGGGCACAACTCGACGACCTTCTAGAGAAAGGCTGGATTCAGCCTAGCTCATCGCCATACAGTGCTCCTGTTCTCTTCGTCCGGAAGAAGAACAAGGACCTGCAGTTGTGCATCGATTATCGCAAGCTCAACGCGCAGACGATCAGGAACGCCGTCCCTCTCCCACACATCGACGACCTTCTCGAGCGATTGGGCGGCGCCCAGTTCTTCTCTAAGCTGGATCTCAAGTCAGGGTACCACCAACTCGAGATTCGCAAGGAGGATCGCTACAAGACCGCGTTCAAGACACGGTATGGGCATTTCGAATGGCTGGTCATGTCGTTTGGCCTTACGAATGCCCCAGCCACTTTCCAAGCGGCTATGACAACGGAGTTCCAACACATGCTGGATCGGTTTGTACTCATCTATCTCGACGACATCTTGGTGTATAGTCGGAGTTTGGACGAGCATGTGGAACACATGCACACCGTTTTGGAGCGGCTACGACAAGCCAAGTACAAAGCAAACCGCGACAAGTGCGAGTTTGCACAGCAGGAGCTGGAGTACTTGGGACACTATGTGACGCCGCAAGGCATCCGTCCGCTTGCGGACAAGATCGACGCCCTACGAGTATGGCCCGAGCCCATCAACACCACGGACGTTCGTTCATTCATGGGGTTGGCGGGCTACTATCAGCGATTCATCA